TCCAGTTAAGCTGATGGAGAGTGTGGGATAATGTCCTCTGAAGAGCTAATGGGGGAAATAGTGGGAAAAGTGTGAGGGAGATTAGAAACTGAATTTGAGGACAAGAACAAATGTAATAAGATGATGTCCAAGGAGACACTGCCTCTGATAAGAAATGGTGAGGTGAATACTTCCAAGTGATGCTTGAAGTGTATCCTATTAAGTCCCTTAAAGGACATTAGTCATATGTCCAGGGACAATTGTCTTGCAGGTAAATTCATGCACCTTATTTGAAGGGGATTCAAACTGTAACTTGGATGCCTGAATTAAGACATTTGAATTGCAGCCAAAAAGGACTATTCACTTTCAGCTTTACCCTCACTTTCAGTTCATAAGGTGAACACTTATTCATGTGCAGTAATAATACTGATTCTTTCTTCTTTTGACTGGCCTAAGCAAGTACATTCAATGAGACTTTCATTATCAACACTTACACCATGCATGACAACAATGAAACTTACCAAAATTGGGTATGTTCATTTTGTTTTAAATTTTAAATGTATTTCTTAACTAACACTGCAGCGGTTGTCTATTGGAAAGGTGGTCCCTAAGACTTGCACTTTTCTCTTTAATGTGTGTGATGGTAACTTGAAAAATGAGATTTATTTGCTTTCTCTGTTCTTACATTAGGGAATGTAAAATGCAACAGAAACCAATAATCCTTGTTGTATAACATATGCACCCTTTCCTCTTTCTCATGGTAGCATTTTGAGTATGTTTCTGCTTCAAAAATTGGATTGCTGCCTCAGAGCCAACAGCAAACTCCTCTCTCCCTTTTTCTTTTTAAAAAGTTGACTACCTGTTGAAACCAAATTTTCATAAATCTCATACAGTATTAGTTTTTCAGTAGTGCATGCGTGCTAGCTTACACAAAATACATGCTGTTCTGTCTGCTTAGTATCTTGTCTGATGTGATCTACAGCATGAAGTATCTCTTATTTAATAAATATATATGTCCCTACTTATTTTTATTTAGGAAGAATAAGGAGCTATGAACATGGATCGATATCCTCTATTGTACAAAATGCTCAGTGTCACATTTTGCAAAGAAAAAAATGGGAGTTCATGTGAATTTGTGTCTATTGACACCTAGATCAGAAAGCCAGACATATAAAATCCCTTGATATTTTGAATATCTATGGTCCGAATCATTAAATTTACATCTTGGCCCATTAAATTTACATCTTGCAAAGTTGTAATGCAAATTTCCACCATGCTAACTGTTCACTATATGCCCTGGGTAACTGTGCTGAACACGCCATAATAATTCATCAACCCTGAAAGAAACCACAAAGTTTAATGCGTATTAAAAATGTGATTGGGGTATATCGCAGAAAAAATTGAAATAAGCTACTGTTCACAACACATCGTGTTCTCTGAGGTTACTGTTACTGTCTGCATAATATTACTCTTTCCTTGCAGGAAGAAAAAAAGCCACAATCAAAATATGTGTGGTGACTTCCTTATATACCTGGTATTCCTTCAAAAGGAGTGATTTTGTTTGGATATTTTTCTCCTATAAAGTGACTAATTATGGGTTTACTGCATTCATTATGGCTATAATGTTGAGAACTATGATAATTAATGATATTTTTCTTAGATTAATGTGATAGAACGTTCTTTCTAATTAAAATGAACTTAAACTGAATTGAGAGATTCGTAGTAATTTTTGTTTACATATGTTCTTTCCTTCTTCTTGTGGCTTTTTTTTCTTTTAGGTGAACAAGGTATGTGGTCCTCCTGTAAGGAAGCCTACGCAGTCTCCAGGTTGCTCCGTTGATCAGAACAAAGATAATCAAGGATTGATGTTGTTCTCAAGAGACAGTGAAGAAACCCTCACCAACAGAAGAAAGTAAGGCATTAGTTTAACAGCCAGAAAGAAAGAATAAAGTAAGCCATTAATTTTACAGCAGAATAGATTATATTCAGTGCAATGGCATGCATTACTAGAAATTAAATAAAATCTGGAAGGAATGAAGCATTTCAGCAACACAATCTGCTCTGTTACGTTTCGGAAAGAGTAGTTTCATGACTAGATTTTGTTTTCTGAAATAATGGACATATGACCAGAGTCATTTGGTGTGGTTTAAAATATTGAAGAGAATGGATCACATTGGTAGAATATGCACGCTAGCTCTATCTTTATGTGTAAATTTTCAAATTACATATAACTTGCACATCATCAGACATTATTAAGTCTGTCTTAAGGTGATTGTGACTTTTATCAGAAGACTATTTGTACAAATTGATCAGACAGGAAAAAATGAATGACTATTCTTATCTACCTTTCTACTGTAAAAATGAGTCAACTGAGCATTTGGAGCTAAATCTTGAAATCCTCGTTCAAGCAAGTCCAGTTCATTTTTTTTCACTGACTGTTTTGCCACTATGTAGTGAGTTGAGGTGACTGCAAAGGCTTGGAGATTTGGTTTATACCTGGCTCAACATTACAGGGTAAAGTTTACCTAACTGCATATGAGCTAGGTGTTTAAGCTGCCATTATAGTCTATGGAAAGGAGGACTCAGCTCAGCTGCCCACACAACTACAAGCATCCACTGCCACTTGAGGATACCCTCAGGTATCCCAGCTGATCTGCTGCTGCCAAGAAGGATGCAGGTGTCCTGTAAGTTGTATTATATATTCCCATCTTCTGCAGAAATCCTGGATAGCTGAATGCATCTCAAAGGCCAATCTATCTATAGAAAAAGTAATCAAGTCCTTAATAACTTTAAGAAGTAATAGCACTGTAAAGAGCAAGGATAGTATTACAGTTGAGACTAAAGGCCCTATTATGCAAATAAAGTACAAAGTTAAAATCAGATATTTCATCTCTTTCACAGTGTTTGCTAAAATACAAAGACTCTTTGTCCTCTTTTGCCTTTCATTTCACTTTGCAGGGCAGAAGGAAACTGAAGTGAGAGAATTGCAGGGAATAATTGCTCACTCCTGAAGTCTGGAGAAGAAAAAGTGCTTCTGAGCTTCAAAGGCAGACCATTCTTGTTAGTGCAAGGTCCTTCATGTTCCAAACAGTGGAGGGAAAAAAACCCAAAACACCCAAATACAGGATTTAGAGAACATTGTGGGAATGGAAAGAGATGGAAACCAGAAGTTTGCTTTAGCTAGCACAGTTCATCAGGCAATACCCATTATACAGGCACATTTTCTCTGTGTTATGTAGCTAAGCAAGTTCTGGATGTTTTCTGATTGCCAGCACTCTGCAAACATGAAATGGTATTCTAAAATCTCACTTAATCCAGGACTATTCCATGTTTCAAAATAAGTGGTGTCTGGATTGACCTCAGGGAGATTGCCCAAAATGCCTTAAGAGGCACGAGAGGCAGTGGGCAGCATAAAGCAATGGTGTTTTCCCGTGACTTCTGCCTGCCTGAGGTGCTGTGAACACTTTATGTGATGTGACAGGTGCTACACCAAGAAGCAGGGAGGGGGGGAGTAAGTTTGAGATCCACTGACACAGATTTCAGTTTAACAACTTCGTAGCTGATATCATCTTCATTTGCTGCCTCCTGGCTCACCTCCTTCCTCATTAGTCACAATCACTTTATGTTTCTCTTTATATTCCCATGGCAACTGTAACAATTCCTCGCGTGGAAGAGCGACTTCAGCAAATGCTTGCAGGCTGCTTGTAAGGAGGAGCTGTTCTCTTCAGTCTAACTCCACTGTATTTACCTGCCGTGTACTTCTGGCAGCAGGTTGCTCTCAGCAAATTTCACAAGCTTTAGCAGAAAAGAACAGGCTTCTCCCAAACTGTGTAGACTTGATTGATGACAGTTATCTGAGGGAAAACAAATGAACAAGAAGATTCCATTAAATGTGTGACTCCTAAGAGTTCCCCGATTTCCTAATATTTTTCAAATGTATCTCCACATAAAATTTTACATTTTAAAGTATATAGTGGACTGCCTCTGCCTGAACTTTTCCTAAATAAATTTTACCATCAGACCTAAGCTTGTATTTTCTAGTACTATATGACACAAGAAGAAAAGGAATTTTCTCAGTGCTTTTGACACCAAAAATTGTCAGATGAATTTAAAAAAATTCTAAGCAGAACCTTCTGTAGTAAATTCAAACTTGAAAGTGTATCATGCCTTTTCCTCCAGAACTTAACATTGCAGACAGCTTTAGCACAGAGAATAAAATTGCAAAAAAAATTAAAAAATGAACACTTCGAAATAAACAGATAAGAAGTATCTGCAGCTTCCACTGGCTGTAATTGCACATTTGTGCTCAGCTGCCTATAATTACATGCTATCTGGTCTAGAAGATGATGGTGTGAAAATTGACATTCATACCATCTGCCCTTCTAACTACTTTGATCAGACGTCAGCAGGGGCTGAAATCAGTTATTACTTCTGTATTAACTTCAGCTTTGCCTCAGGATGTATTTACTAATAAACTGAAAGACCTTTGTTGGAATGCAGTTTGTCACAAGACACTGTGGCAGCTATATTTATTTCAATTTCTCTGTTATACTTGGATTGATTGTGCAGAAAAAGAAATTCCAACTATTTACTATGAGAGGACTCTCTAAGCGCTAGTTTTCATCCAGAACCCAAACCCAAAGCAGAGACAAAATCAAAACCGATCCCACTCAATGTGAAATGGAGGAAAATTGCAAGCATATCGTACACACTGGATGCAATTTTGGGGATGGAGAAATAAAAGATATGACTATTCATGGCTGGGAGAGTGTGGATGAGTCATATTTAAATGTTTAAAATATATTGCGCGTAGGCAATCCTATGATGCATAGTCAAAACTGACCCTACCTGAGATTTTCAGAACTGCAGTTTTAGGCTTAGTAAGACACTCATATCACATTTAATAGGCATAGTAAATCTAAATCACTGTGGTTTGTGTAAAATATTTGCCCTACAATTACAAGAAAGAACATGTGGCTTTTTAAGTGATGGACTGTGTATAATCACTCATGTTTTATCTGTTTTAATCTGGAGTAAACAATACTTAATTTAATTCCTTATGCCATTTTAGGCCTATGTTGACTAAATACAGGGAAATGACTAGAATATTTCTGACATTTTTTCACAATTCCAGACGCTATACAAGATGTTAACATCAATTAAAGCTTGCTGGCTTGCAGAGCAATGAGTACAGCATTTGCTGGTGCCTTTCTTTGTGCCTGCGGGTCATAGATAAACTCAGTATACTGTAGTGTTCTAAACCAGCATGAATAAATATTTTAATTTTTCACAGCAGGACTGGGTCTCCCAGGAAGAGAATCTCAAAACACAAGCAAACAATTTATAAGTATAAATACCACAATCCAGTTAAAAACATACTAAATAAAAGCCACTAATTTGTTTTGATTTAAGAACAAAAACTTATCATGGCATCTTGACAATTATTTAAAATAACAATACATATTTTATAACCTACCAGCACAGCACGTGATAAAACTGATGTAATTTTTCAGACAGTTATTTAAATATCCATTAAATATTTAACATCTACATCTTAAACCCATCTTACCCCAATCTTGAGCTGCTCTGTAACTCTAGAAATACTCTTGGTAGTATTTGTAACACTGTGTAGGTGGCTAGTTGATACACTTTTGAAAAACAGTTGACTTAGTCATATACACCTATTTTTTCATTTGCTATGATTTTTTATTTTTTTTTTTTGGTATATTTGTACAAGTGTAGCATGGCAAACTATCACAACTATGCAAGAAAATTTCGGGTTAGAGGAATATAATTGCTGTTCCAGAGCATGAGTAAATATTTTTTTTTTACTTTGACCAATGAGAGTATCAGCTTTGTAAACTACTGAAGTGTGTCTGAGAGAATCAAACTTATCTAACGGGAAATTGACAAATTGATTTAAAAAATCATTGGAACCAACAGAGAGTAATAGAATAAGAACATTCTTTATCTTCTTGTACAAACACACAACAGCAGTACTGCTTAGTGCTATTGATTGACATTGTCAATTATTTCCCATGTTCCCCTATGCAGAGAATTTATCAGCCACCTCCGGCTCTACAGAGCCTTTTATGGTGGCTTGGCTGATCATCTGTGCGGCAATGAGTTGGCAGCTGCTGATGGCCTCCCATGTTGGAACGGAGAAGATGTTGTAAGAAGGTACATTTCTGACTCACTTTTGTCTTTTCTTTTGTTATTTCATGTTCCTCTAAAGTAGCTTCCAACTCAAGTACATTGTTTCCCTAGGTATGTGTCAAGGTTAGTTCGAAAAATCTCAGGCTTTACTTGTAAACAGTAAAAAAAATCTCCCTCCCTCTCAGTTTTGAGTTAAAAAAAGATCTCTACTGTTCTTCAGACATTTTTTCTTCAAATTTATGGCACCTAAACATAAACTGGAAAAGAAGCTGGATTGGCATTTAGAAAACACAGTTGGAGAAGAAGAATATGGATTTTTGTTTGAGCGTGATCTTTATAAATTGCTCCTTTTAATACAGAGTATGTGATAATAAACTCAAGCTATTTTCTTAAAACTTTCTCTGCCTCTGAAGAATGAAGTAATCAATATATGTGGTTTCCTGGGAGAGCTAAAAGTTAAAACACAATGATAAAACAAAGGTGAAATACATGTATTGTTTTGTGTATGCAGTGGCTTGGGAGACACCATTCAGCAGCAATGACAAAACAGAAGTAGTAATAAACCGCTGTGTCCTGGATGTGTATCTCTGGAATCAATATATTTCACAGCTTAGAAAACACTAGCATTTGAGGATGTCAGAAGGATTTTCAAAGAGCTGATCTCTTATGTTTTTCTTTATTACTCTCATCACCAAAACAAGTATTTCTCTGAGCATGAAGACCTTGTGATGACAGAGACCAAATTATTAAGATTCATTGCAATTTTTTTTTATGAAGATCATGCTGTTAATACAGCATTTATTAGTAGGTAGTATCACAGGTCATATCAAAGAAGGTGGCTAAAGGCTGTGAGGTGATTTAATAAAGTGGGAGGTAGCTGGTACCAAGTAGAAGAAACAGTGACAGCCTGCACCTTCAGGTATCTCTAGAAAGGTTAGGTAGGAGCTGTAAATTATTGATTAATGATACCTAAGGAAACTTAATGGGTACCTTTTCAGCAAACAGATGCAGTCCTACTTTTCTTTATCTCATTGTGTAGTCCAATGCTTTGGCAGGACCAAGACACAATGAGTGGTTGACTCCCTTGATAGTCTCATTGGGAACCTTTGTCCTAAGGTTTCAACAATCTTCTCAAGATGACGTGTTCCTTCTTTAGGTATCTATATGTGAGCTTTAATCTCAGTGTCACCTCCTGGCTTTTCTTTTGCTGCCCTTCCCCAAATGAGTTACACTACTATTACCAAATGTTTCAGTAACAATTTGAAGTAAGCCTCTTATAATTACAGATTTCCTGAGAACAATGCTCTTGTATTGTTACTTTTGTCTGCTTATAGTCTTACTATTAACATGTTGTATGTTTTCAAAACTATATTACTATATGACATCGTACTATTGTATTTTAGTTATTATATTATATTATATTATATTATATTATAATACTATTACTATGTTTATACTATAATACTGTACTGTTTGATTTTGATTGATTAGACACTAAAGTCCTCATACAGAAATTAAATATTCTACTAAATTATAGACCATAGTTGTTTTTAAAAGTAATTTAATTTGACTAAAAATGTTTCACTTCTGCAGTTTGTTTATTTGTGGGTCAACCTAAAGATAAAATTGGTGACAAAACCACTATATCTTAAAAGTAAGACCACTTTGATTTTAGTTTAACTTATAAATTTCCTTACTAAAATATTTTGTTTTCATATATATATTAATATATGTTTTTATATTTTTGATCAGTAAATTTTAGTGTTAACTTCCTGAAAAAGCTGACATGTAGATAATATTTAGAAGTACAGAGAGCTGATTAAAACCAGAAAAGCAGGATACTGAGTGGCTTTAGGTTTTCAACTGGAGCTGAGACCAGCAGATAGTTCTTATGTCTCAATAGCCCTACTTGTACATTAAATATATTGTGGTACATATTCTCCTGCTTCAGTAGCTATATGAAGGTGCTCACATCTGTTCTCTTCCTCCCCTTCATTTTGCTTTGTTACCCAATAAAAATGTCCTTTGTTTAATTTTATTTCTTTACATTTGTCCTTTTGTAGCTGAAGGGGGAAAAAAAATCTTTCCTGTGTTTTGACTGAGGTCAGGGTTTTTTTACTGTTATTGTTATTACTACAGAACTGTTAATTTAGGGAAAAATGGGCACTCTTTTCTTTTTATGCTTAGGCACATCTGTGTGCCTGCTATGAAGCTAAGGCATGTGTGGTGCAAGCATGTGGGAGAGGGGCACACACACGGGGCGTGCAGTGCCTGAAGATTTCTCTTGATTATGGGAAGTCAAACTCAGCCTCAGAAACACATTCAAACAAATAAAATGTGAAAATTCAGAAACAAGAGGTTGTGTTTGAGCAAGAAAGGCTCCAGATCTGCCCCACAGATTGTGCTGGGAAATTACATTTGAAATGGACCAATGAATCAATCAACTAGTGAAGAGATCTAATGGGAGATGAGCAGCATTGAAAGTGATTGCGTTTGGGGATATTGTGAAGGGAAATGAAGATGTCGGGCTTTGTGAATGTGGACTGGAGGCAGTGAGCCTAACCACTGTGCAGGCAAAACAGATTAGAAGGGACTAGTAACATGCAAAAACCAGGGTCAGCAATTCAAAATTACCTTGATGAAACTCAACCTAAGCCAAATTTTAGCATTTTCAGGAAAACTGTGGCATGCTCGTAGAGTATTCCCAGAAGTATTATGAGATCGATTATGTATCTAGGAAACTCAGCTTACAAAAAAAGGAGTCAAATAATTAGATTTGTTTAACCAGGAGAAGAAGGACTCTTAGAAAATGCAAAGGGCAAACAGGCTGTTGCTAGGGGGAAGAAAAGTACCTATTATTTGTTTCCATAATGGCTAGGACACACAGCAAACATTTTAAATATATTCTGATTAAATATGAGGGACAATAAGGGATGAAAATAGGTAATTTGGGGGTCCAGCATCTGCCTGAAGGACAGGCAAGGCAAGGCACTAAGAAATGATGCAGCAAAAGCCGATTTTTCTTTTGAGATATGGAGATAAATTGGATAACCTCTCAAAATCTCCTCCAGCCCTCTGATTCTGAATCTAGGATTATCTAAATCCTGTGTTGCTCAACTTCTGTTCCTATGATTCCAGGATACTGTGCCATTTTAGAAGCAATAATGACCTTAGCAGGTGTCATTGTTTTTCTCTGTAAATACTGAAGAACACCTGAACCTGTACGCTCACTCTCTTTTCTTCGTGGTTTTTTTTTTTTTTTTTCTTCCTCCCCCCCACTAGTATAGTAATAAATAAAGATATTGGTGAATTCATCTGTGCAGTGTTCCTGGCACAGATGGAGGAAAGTCTGTATTGTTCAATAGATTTTATCTCTTCTGAGATTCACCATTTCTGTCTGGTTTTGCCTTCTATTTAAAAATCATGTGCCATAGCTGGTGATGACTGCAATTTTTGGGCCTGACATGGGAAAGAAGTATCATAAGCTACATAATGCTGGTGTGAGTGTATCAGGACCTGAAGAGACTGCTAAGTCTGTCTACTGTATCTGTGTTTCAAGCTGCAAGTAGCAATAAGCCCTGGAAACAGAAGATAGATATGTTTTTAAAACATCTTTACAGTTTTTTCTCCTTTTCTGTGCAATTTTCTAAAGGAAGGAGTTCAAGGTTTTAACAGCTATAATATCATATCTCAAATAAATCTTACAGCCTTTGCCATCCTTAATACCATCTAAGAGATTATCAAGCCTGGATGGGAAAAGGTCAGAAAAAGCAAAAGAGGGTATTACTGAAATGAAAGCTTACTTAACAGTTTACATTTCATATGCTTCAGCTGTTTCCTTTTTGGTTTAAGCCCTTTTTTTTTTTTTTTTTTTTTTTTTCCCAAAATTGTAATGTCATGTCAATATGGCCCTTGATTCTGAAACTAGAGAGTTTTGAATCTAGCCTGTCACACAGTGCAGGCTCATGCTTTTATCAAAAACTGAGACCAGGATCCCCAAGTTCCTGTATTCATGTCAGGCAAGACTGGTAGCGGGCAGGACTTGCAGGAGCAAGACTACTCTCACAAGGTCCACATCACTGCAGGATGAGGGAGAGAACATCCCAGAGGGTTCATCAGGCCTTCCACTGTTTTACCCAATTGTGTGACTACAGTGGTTGGCCATGAAGTTCAAACTTCAGTTTTAAAGGCATAACTGAGTGCTGTGATGAAGTACCTGGAATTCAGTGGTATGGGATTCATTATGTTCAATGGAAAAAGAAGAACAGCAATTAATAAGTTATGCAGTACCAAAGCATACGAGAAGAGTTGCATGCATTAGTCTGGAAGCTCAGTGGCATCTTAACATTAAAGCTAAAATAATGGGAGGTGTGCAAATAAACTGAGATTGTTCTCATTCATGAACATAAAGTGGTTTAACTGACATTTATACAGTTTTAGTAGTCCAGAGGGCCTCGCTAGACTGTGAAGAGAGACAGATTACAAATCCACAGAGGAGAGCAGAATATGTACTGTACATCTTGAGACCAGTGATTCTACTGAAATAAAAATAGATGTGAGAGAAGAAAATAGTAAGATTATGTGTGTTGAAGGATTCAAGAGTAATGGAGATTATTAAAAACAGCTAATCAAGATTGGAAGAGTTTCATATGAAACACATATCTGAAGTATCAAAATTAAGAGGAATTAAACAGCGTGATTGATTTTAATTGCTGAGTGAGTTGTGAGAAGGTGATTGTAATAAGCATCTATCATCGAATAAATGCTTAGCTTTAGCACAGTTCTTGGGCTGGGGAAAGGAATTTCTCTTTTGATTCTTAAATATTCTGAAACAAGAGCACAGTCCTGAGTCTGTTCTTAGCCAACAAAAGAAGATAAACGGTGATATAAGAAGATCTAATTAATTCCTTTTTGTTTTCTTCTATTTGAGCTTCTCATCACTTTATAATGAAGCAGAATGTAAACTGCCATCAAAGGCACCACTTGCCACCTATGCAAAAGATTTGCCTCAGTAACTTGAAATG